AAATGATTGGGAGAAAAAAATGCGTATTCCAGGTGCTCGAGTACAAGATGTAGCAGAGTTAGAAAAAATTCTCAAGCGACCAATTACATTACTGGATATTACACATGGCACTATTTTTAATAGCAAAAAATATCGATCAGGTAAGTATGAAGAAATAGAAATGGTAGTTCATAATGGGCATGCATTCCCTCGAAATCATCATTTTCCAAAGGATCGAATGGTTGAATATTATAAAGACGATACTTGGGAAGCTATCAATAATGCCCTTCAAGGTCCTCAAGCAATCTGGCTTATGGGAGTAGGAGATGAAAACCAAAGAGTTTCTCAATTTGTTTTAGAAAACGGCCGTGCATTTAGGACATGGATAAAGCATACAGATATTATAAAAGCATGTAAGGAATTATTTGAAGATGCGGTAAACTGGCAATTTCATGAAAATATAATTAATGAAGAAAAAAAATCGATTCTTTTAAAGTCTCTCAAAGTAGTTGACTTAGCAGAGCAAGTATTTGGTGCAAACCATGCTGGAAGTCGACTTGCCAATAAAATCAATGAATGGTGTCCAATATCTGGAAAAATAAATGATGTTATAAGACAAGCTTGTGTTGAGCATAGGCATGGTGGACGCTGGAATGCACCCAGTTATCACATTAATAATGTCGTATATATTGATATGAAAGAATGCTATCCAGCAAGTATGCGAGGCCAAGGAGAATGTGCACCATGGTTTAATCGATTTGGGCACCCAACACATCATCTTGTCTGAGTAGCAGTAAATGGAAAGTTACCAAAAGATGATACTACCGGATTTGCACAGATAAAATCTTTCAAATTTGCTTCTAATATACATCCAGTAATCCCAGTCTGGTATGGAAAACATTTTGCATGTCGAAGCGGAGATGGATGTGTAAAAAGTAAAGGATGGGCATCTATTGTATTTCTATGATATCTTCTTGAGACCGGTATTCTAGAAAGTGTAACTATTGGGGAAGCAATTATTTCTCTTACCAAACAAACAAAAGTATGGTTACCAAAAAATCGAAATATTAGTTGTGCAATTATAGGTAAGTTTACACAAGGTGGCAAGATTGATGAAAAACGACTTACTCATCGACTTGTAACAAATGAAGGTGAGCTCGATTTCTTGGTTAAAGATTGTACTGATGCCGGAACTTTTGCCGGAAGAGAAAAATGTCCACTCGGTTTTATACTTACATACTATGAGGGTCATCAACCTCAATATACTCATTTACGGGCTTCAATGTTAGCATATGCACATATTAATTTGTTAGAGATGCTTCGGAGATTCGATCCTAATGAAGTAGTAAGAATTGCTACAGATTCTATATATGTACGAAAAGATGCTTTATATAAGATCGAAAATAT